TCCCGTAGAATACCTGCTTTTAGAAGTCGCTTAAGGTGTTGGGCGATCCCCTGCCGTGCTCGGCTGGGTACTGGGTACTGTCTCACCCGAATAGGGCTGGCAGTGCTTTTTAGCTGGACTAGCACTGGAGGTTGGTGGAGTGCTAGGCCTGGTGGATTAGTCTCTGCCCAGACTCCGGGAATCTCAGAGAGGAGGGTTTCTGGTACTCCTTTCTCCTCCTTACCTTCCTGGAGGGTTGCCAGCAGGTATTCTTCTGAGAGTGGCACAGTTACCTCTACCCGGGCAGGTCCTGGAGTATTGGTCCCTGGCACCTCAGTCTGTTTGAAAGTGATGGTGGCCTGAAGTTTCTGCAATAAATCTCTCCCGAGCAGTGGGTAGGGACAATCCGGAACCACTAGGAATGAATGGGTTATGGTGCCCAGCCCCAAGTCTGTGACCCTTGCAGTAGTCCATGGGTAAGATTCCTCTCTGCCAGTAGCCCCTATGATCTTGGTAGTTGTCTTTTGTGCCTTTCCTTGTGGTTGCTTTAAGACTGAAAAAGTGGCCCCCGTGTCTACTAGGAAATTTATTGGCTTCCCTTCGACGTTCAGAGTGACCATGGGCTCCTGGGGGCCAACTGGTATAGAGCCCCGGCCCCGTCAGTCTAGAGTCTGAAGCAGGACGGGGGTCCTTTCCTCTAACACGGGTGGCCTGGCTCTGCGTTTAGGGCAATCTCGTTTCCAATGTCCTATTTCCTTGCAGTAGGCACATTGATCTTTGTTTAAGGGAGCCCGCCGTTGCTGGGCTCCATCCCTACCTTTCTCCCTCCGGCCAGGTTTCTGAGCTGCTATGAGGATCTTGGCTACTTCCTTTGCTCTACCTATCTCGGGGTCATCTCTGTTTACATAAACTTTCTGAGCAATTTCTAACAGCTTGCTTAGGTTTTCTTCTTCAAAACCTTCAATCTTCTGTAGTTTCTTCCTAATATCTGACGTCGCCTGTGTGACAAAGGCAATATTGACAAGCCTGCGATTTTCTGGCGCTTGGGGGTCTAGGGGGGTATACACCCGGTAAGCCTCTAGAAGCCTCTCTAAATATGCTGCTGGGGATTCCTCTCTCCCTTGGGTGACCTCACTTACCTTACTGAAATTGGTTGGCTTTCTGGCTGCTGCTCGTACCCCCCTCAGGAGAGCTCGGCGATACTGGAGTAGAGCTTCCCTCCCCGCACTTGAATTTGGGTCCCAGTCCGGAGGCTGGTTGGGGAGTATATCCCCAACCCCCCTCCGGTTTCCTCCCAGCCCTCCTTCCTCTTCCCTTACGGCCTTTTCGGCCTCTCGAAGGATTCTCTCTCTCTCTTCAGAGGTGAAGAGAGTTTGGAGTATCTGTTGGCAGTCATCCCACGTAGGCTGGTGGGTCCTAAAAACGGTCTCTAGAAGGGAGATTAAGCCCTGGGGCTTTTCAGAGAACGGGGGATTCTGAAGTTTCCAATTATATAAATCACTGGTAGAAAAAGGGACATAAACTAGACGAGGGGGATGAAAGGCCGGGGCATCAGGGCCCGGCGGCACCTCTCGGAGAGGCAAAATGTTGGCCCATCCCACTGAGGAAGCCGCCCCCACCAGCCCCGGCCTGGGAGGCGGGACACTGACCCCTCCCACCGCGGGAGCTACTAGTCCGGGCCCGGGAGGCGGGACACTGACCCCTCCCACCGCGGGATGGGGCGCCCCGTATAGGGTTCCCCTCCTGGTGTGGGGGGGACTCATCAACTCCTCCCCCGTGGTGGAGTCGGGTTGCGGGGTAGGATTGTACGGAGGCGGGGCAGTTGGGGCTAGTAGAGAATCCTCTGGCTCCTCTGGCAATACCAGATATAGACGGGGCTTCCTTTGTTCCTGCCCCTGGGGAGGAGTTTTCTCTCCAGGATTTACTCACGGCTGCCTTTGTTCCTGCTCCTGGAGAGGAGTTTTTCTCCCCCCTCCTGGCCTTTGTCTAGCAGCTACACAGACGCTCTGCCGCATCCTATTTCTGCCTGACTGACAACAGCGTATGTATTTCGGTCGTTCGGTAGCTATATCTACCCAAACATCTAAATAAATCATCTGATCTGGATGGGGCACTCTGTAAACCACCCCTTGAACGGCATAGAGAAGGGGGAGGTTAAAAGTCCCTTCAGAGGGCCATCCTACGTCAAAGGCTGGCCATTCTAACTCACTGAAGGTCCGGAGAGTCTCAGGATCTGGAGGTGGCCCGCCATACCCTCAGGCCCGCTTCTGAAAATCAGAAAAATTATTCAGAAGGCATTCTAATGCATTACTCGGTGTTGAGCCTCCTTGTCCCATCTTTGATTTCCGACGTGAGACGTTAACAGTCTTGAGACCTAGTAGGACTAAGGCAATTAAGAGTTCACACACGAACACACAACGGGCTTCCCCTCGTCCACTCACGCATAAACAAGCCGTGACACACAACTTCAGCTCTCTCACTCGTTCAGGGGCGCGGGCGCTTCGCAAGCGCTTTTGGTTAGAGCACGGAAATCGTAAGTGATCTCCTGCCGTAACCTAAACAGACGGGGTGGGGGGGGGCACTCCAGTTCTTCCTCTCCCCCTATTACCAGAATAGAGCACAAAAAAACTCTACCAGACGGGGACTGCAGTTCCCCTACCAGACGGGAGCGTAAAGCCCCGACCCCATGAGAGCGTCCTCCCAGTTTTTGGGGTCCCCTGTGCGGAATTTCGGCGGCGTCCCACCTTTCCACTTCAGGGCTCCGATGGCCGCGACCTTCCCAGATAGAGATCTCTCACAGATACCAGATACTTACCGGGCCGGCATACAGATGGGTTCTCCGAGGGCACGTGCGAATCTCGCTGGGGCCTCCAAATGTTGTAGGCAACAGATGAGTCAATGCACGCTCTCGGAGACGAAGATAGGTTTCAAAGATCTCTAATTTTATTGATTACAAAATAATAGTCTAATTATAAATTTGGTGGCCAAGCTTTACCTGCGCAGGGGCGAACTTCCCTAGATGTGAACGGAGTCACATTAGCTTTTAAAGCTACAGATGGAAGTCGCGCGTGGCTCACAGACTACGGGGTTCTTATAGGGCAGAGCAAGCGAATGCGGGGTTACAGAAGCAGATGTGGCAGTTAGCTATTAGCCAGGTTGCTAAGTTAAAAAAAACGGCGAAAGTCTCTAATTGGTGGGTGGGAGCTGGGGGTCTCATCTGGCGGGCCTTGGTCAGTTACCTTATTTGGCTAGGAATTTTAACCCAGCCGTTCCCTGACATTTATTTATTACCCAGTCTCAGGAACTGCAGATGCCTAATGGCTGTTTGTATATTTCTACTACTAATGGCTATTACAGTTTCCTGTGCAATTCCATGCATTTCAATTAGTTTCGCCTTCATATGTTTGTCTAATTTGTGGCTATTATCAACCAGTTCTGTGAGGATCCTGATCACCAGTGTTTTAAACTGTGCGTCTGCGAGTTTTGCTATTTCTTCACTGCTTAGATTTATAGGCTCTGGGGCTTTGAGATCTTCTTGAGCCATTTTTGGTCTGTTTGTGCCCGGTAAGTATGAGGAGTGGAGCCTTGGACTCCCAGGTCGCTGGGTTGTGACTCAGTATGTGGAGGTGGGATCAGAGCAGGGAAATGGTGGTTCCCTCTGCTGTTTCTCGCCGGTGGGTGAGGAGCAGAGCCTTAGGTTGTTCACAGGGGCAGGGCTACTTTGGTCGCTGGGTTATGACGCTGTATGTGGAGGCGGGGTCAGAGCGGGAAAATGGCGGCGCCCTCCGCCACCGCTAGCCGCTGGGGCTGCTGACTCTCGTCCAATTGCCCACTCCCTCGCTTGTCTATCTACACACGAATGCTCGACCACAGTCAACCCGCAGCCCTGCTCCCTCGCTGTCCCCCCCCCCCCCCCCCCCCGCCCGTCACTCGCTGAGTTGCCCACCAGGTCCCACCCTGCGCCTGGATTCCGGGCCTGAGTCTGTCTGACCAAGTCCTCCTGTGCAGCCCCGCTCTACCAGCTGCTGGTTTCGCCCCTTACCAGTCAGGCTAAAGAATTTGTTGTTAACGGACTTGCGAAAAGTTTAATTCTCTGTGTTCTGGCTGTGTCTTCTGTTGCTAATATTGAGTTGTCTCTAAACTTGGTTGTGTGAGAAGGCACGGCTTATCCACCTATGCCTCCATCTTGGCGGAAGTCGCCCACTTTTTTTAAGTATAATATATAATACTGTGTAGACTCCCAAGATAAATGTTAAAAGAAACCCCTTGTGAAAAATGCAGAAAATGTAAGTCTTCCAAATTTCCATTCATTGTCCTTTTGATTTGACCCTAGTGGGCATCAGGTTATTGTCTGTGGATGAGTCATGGTGAAGGGGCTGGGGTGCAAAGGGTGGGTCTCCAGGTCCTTCCGAAGGGCAGCTGTGCATTGGACATCTCTGTTTTCTTCACTGTCGAACGTGTTGCACAGTTAAGAGATGTCGCGCTGACCCTGGCCTGGCAGCTTGGTGGGTTAGAGTGTGGTCCAGGCACACTGAGGCTGTGGGCTCCATCTCTGATCAGGGCACACAGAAGATGCCGCCATCTGTCTGTCTGTCTCCCTCTCTCAGACCATTAGAGAGAGAGCTGGGGACCTACACTGGCTCAGTGTTTTGTCGCTAGGAACCTATGAAAGCAGCTCGCCAGGAGGGGGCTTGTCTTACCTGAGTTTCTGCATTTGGGCTGGCTGCTGGAACAGTCCCGACGAGTCTGCCATTCTAACTGTGTGCTTTTTTCTGTAGAATTTATTCTCCAACAAAACTTTTTACCTTTTTTAATGTGACTTGAAATAACAAAGGCAAACCTCATTCTTCCCACATTATGTTCATTTTCTTTTGTTCTCTCCCCAGCTTCTTTTACTTTCTTCTCTGAGTAATTACATTTTATTTACACTGGTTTTCTCATTTACTTGAGTTTTGATTGTGTGTCATAAAAATCCAAGTAAAAATCTAATTTTATTTTATTTTTTGATCTGGGGGATCTAGGAATCTGATTGCAATTTTAAGTCACTCGATAATCAAGGTAATCAGAAATCCAAGCTACATTTCTCTCATATTTCAAAAAAAGACACACTTCTAAGGAACAAGGTAATAAAATATTTAATTTTTTTACATTTCAAAAGCAGTGCATGATTACTATCAGAAAATAAGAAATATAACCACAATTAAAAATTAGAATCCCTGTAATTTTATTTACATTAAAAAGTCTACTTTTAAACCTAGGGTCATGTTTGTGCTTGATTATTGTTGTTCTTTGTCTTCTCATGTTTTTCTACAGTGAACGTATTTTTTTAAGCACAAACTTTTAAAAAATTTAAATACTATGCATATCCATGTAAGAGTCTCATCTTATACTATATAAATGTAAATCTCAAACCTATTTAAAGTATTAATGTAAAATATAAGATATGTAAAGTATAATATAAGAATTTTTAATGCCTTTTAATGAGAAAGACTTGTCCACACATATCCTGTGTTGGAAAGATGTCCACATTATTTTTTTAGTGAAAAGGAAAAATGTGATTAGGGTGGCATTTTTGTTTGCTGGAATACTTAAAAATGTTCATGTGCGTATGTGTGTATTGTGTAATGATAGTAAAAAGTCTGGAAGTAAATACGAAAACTGTTTGCAGTGAGAGACAGGGCTAGAAAAGTAGAAGGCACCTTCCCGAAAGGATGCTCGGCCAGAGGTTAAACCGCCATCTTTCTGCCGCTGTCCTCACTGTGGGGGGTTTGCACTGTCGGGTTCCCCGGCGCTTCTGTTGCGGTGGAAAGTCCTGATACGCCTTCCCCTCTGCCCCCGGCACCCCTCACCCTCTTCACCGCTAACCTCTCCGTCTCAGAGCATTTTTATTTGTAGCCCTCATGCGACATTATATTACTCTCTCTCTCCGTTTCAAAGTTGTCCTTTGTCACTGCCGGCCCAGCCCTCCTTGTGCAGAAGAAAGAAAAGGAGCCACCCACTGCCACCCGTCCAGGTTCGGGTGTCTCCTTGCCGTTCCCATTCCTTAGTCGCTGCCTTGTCCCCGTCACCAACACCCTAACTTAGGATCTTACCTTTCTTGTGTGAATCTTATTTGGTTTATTGGGGGATCTTTGGTTAATAAAATTAATGGATTCCAGGGTTCACTTCTGTAACACACCATCTGTATGTTGTATTGTGTGTTCACCGCCCCAAGTCCCGTCTCCTGTCACCAATCACCCCCCTTCCACCCTCTTCTGCCCTCTTTCCCTCTGGTAATCGCCATAGTGTTGTCTGAGCCCTTTTCTTTCTGCTTAATCCTTTTCATTCTTTATACACTGTCCGCCGGCTTCCTTCATCTTAAACCTTGTTTTGTACGCCTCGCTGTTACTATCCCCAAAACCAGCATTTTAGTGACCCCGTGTTTCACCCAGTGAAAAATCAGCCTTTGGTGCAAATAACCTAGTGGCGCATTTATGCACCGGAAAAACAGGGGACCTGTTCGAAACAGAATTTGGCCCTTTGTGTAAAATGGAAAAATCTCCAAGATATGTCATTGGGTGGAATCAAGGCACAGTGAGTAAGAACAGCAAAGACAACAGGTGCAGGTGCTGCCACGGGGTGTGCAAAGCAGCCCCTTCCCCACGGTTTCGGTCACCCACGGTCAGCTGTGGGCTGAAAGGACTAAGGGGGAAGTTCCAGAAATAAACAGTTCGTGAGTTTCAAATGTCCTGTCATGGTCAGAGCAGTGTGATGAAATTTCATGTTCCGTCTGTCCTGCCTGGGACGGGAGTCCTCCCTCTGTTCAGTGTGTTCACACTGTGTACACGACCCACCTTGGGCGTCAGGTCGACTGTGATGTTATCTCAGTTCCTGGTTCCAAGTCGCCCCTGTGAACGGCCCCGAGGCACAAGGGTGGTATTGCTGCTGCTACAGTTCAGATATGCTGACGGGAACCACTTTTTCTCGTTCCTTGTAAGTTATTTTTCTGTGCAGAATATAAAGAATAGTGTGAAGTTAGCTAAAGATAGCTGCTTTAACGGAACAGTGTTAAAATGAGCATTTAATCCTCAGGCTCCTGGGCTGTATAAATCCAGTTCTACGGGCAACCTTTCAACAACCAAGATCAAACCTCTGGCGCCTGCCAGAGCCAGTGGGCTGAGCAAGAAGCTGGCGAGCGTCCAGAAGAGGAAGCACCACGACGCCGAGAACAGGCCGGGACTCCAGATGAAAATCAATGAGCTCTGGAAGAATTTTGGATTTAAAAAGTGAGTTGTCTTGTTACTTACTCTAAAATAGGATGCGTTACTTTTTTCTGTAATTTCAGGCCTTCTCCCAACTCTTTTAATCAATTTCTTTTTCTCTTACCTAACAGAATTCTCCTTCCTCATTTCCTTCAGTGACTCTGTGTTTTCACTTCAATGTCTGCACCTCCGTTCAGTGGAGAGATGGCCGAGTGAGAAGCCTGGGGTTCTCAGCCTGGCCCTGGGGGGCTCCGTCCAGCCTGTGCGCCCCGCTGTCTTTCCTTCTTACCTCCCAGCAATGCCATGAGAGCAGAGTTGTTCAAGACTCAGGGGGCGGGAAGCTAATGGTACTTTCTGCCGTAAAGCAGTTTGTTTCCCTACGTTGTCACATCCGAAATGGGGGGAGTCACTGCGTTTCCGAGAGCAATTGGTCAGATTTCTAATGTATGTGGCAGACACTTTCAAATTATTTGACCCTCTGCATAGCTGCACTTTTTGAACCACAATACTTCCTTCTGTTAGACTGCTAAGATTAAAAGTGAAAAACAGAAAAATCATATGAGTGTGGTAAGATTAAGCCTTACCTAATAGAAATGTCACAGTCAGATGAAATGGTATGAGTGGAAACACTTTATAAGTGAGTTAATGCTGGACAATTTTTTTTCTTATTTTACATTGTGTAAAGTCTAGGATTAAACCACACAGCAGCAGTTCTCAAACTTTTTGCCTTCAGGAACCCTTTATAGTCTTAAAACTCACTGAGGATCCCAAAACACGTTGGTCTCTGTGTAGTACGTGTCTGCACCATTTTAGGAGTTAAAATGGCCCTGGCCCGTCAGCTCAGATGGTCCCAGCGTCGTCCCGATTCGCCCAGGTTGTGGGTCCACCTCCGGTCAGGGCACATACAAGAAGCAAACAGTGAAGGCATAAATATGTGTAACAACAAATCCCCCTCTCTCTCCCCCGCTTCTCCCTCTCTCAAATCAGTAAATGAAAAAAATTTTAATTAAAATGGGCACATTAAAAATATTTATATTTAAACAGTAAGTTCATTAAGTATTAAAATCAATGGTATATTCTTTCCTAAAAAATACAGCTATTTTCTAAGCCCAGAATGTTAGAAGAGTGACATTGCTTTTACATTTTTGCAAACCTTTACTACCTGGTGCAATGGAACTGAGCTTGAACCTTACGTCCACCACTGCGTTTGGTCTGTTACGGCGTCTTGTTCTGGTTAAAGTGCACAAGGAAAATCTGCCCGCGCACGTATTTGTGCTTTGAAAGTGCAGATTTTATTTTCATGGCCTTGTTATTGAATTGTAAGTTTTCTTTTGGATGTTACATCAAAACCCATCGAGCAGTAGCTTTGAAGCCATGGCCCCGCAGACTGAAACGCCGTCGGTGGACTTGGCCTTGGGCCCCAGTCCCTGGGTCCCTATGGCGTTTGAGTGCGCCTGTTACTCACACACGATTCCCCAGCATCGTGAGCCACCCATTTGGAAAGGGTTGTGCTTATTTTTCAAATATTGACCCATTTTAATGTCCAGTATTAAAAAATGTACACACAATCTTATCATCAAAGTCTTTGCGTATTTGGACGGTGTTGGGTGGCAAATTTGAGTTTTCCCAAATTCGTATTTTCACTTGAAAGCTGAAATGTTAACATTGGTAAGAAATGCTTCTGTTGCTTTCTTTGAAGTCACTTACAGGCTCTCGAAGTTCATCTTAGAGCAGCTCTCTGCCAAATGCCTAAATCTGAACAGTTACAGGCGCTTTTCCTTGAGACGGTGACCAGATTTCAGTGTCCGGCACAGAAGTCAGTGTCCAGCAAAGGGCACGGAGCGTGTTTCCCTTTTTGTCGCAGGATAGTAACAAGTTGAGAGGATCGAGATTTAATGAACTGAATGATTTTTACTACTTTGTCAAGAATGTTCTTAAGTCAGAACATTCTTAAGTACTTAAAAAAAGCCCTTAAGTACTTTTTTTTACCGTAAGTACATGGAGGTGGAGACTGCAAATACCCTTTTCCAGCAAAACACACACAACCAGGGGAGCGAAGGCTGAAACAGTCGTTCACGCCTCATTTGCACTGGTTCTTAGCAAAACTTGAGAGGAATGCTAAGTAGACAGGAACTCCTTTCCTCATGGGAGTCATTCTCCCTCAGCTGGTCTGTAGTTGTGAGTAGTGACCCAGCGCCTGCTTTGAAAGGTCGTTGGAAAGCAGGAAGGGGCGCCGTGAGGCAGGTTTCGTTGGATGGACTCGGAGCCCGGCTGTGCATACGGTGAGCTCAGGCCAATCATGCACCAGGGGTCTCGTCCTCCCGCCATGCCGCAGTCTGGGGCAGGTGGGCCGTTCTCTTCCACAGTCACTGTCTAAAAGCACCAAGTCCATTTTATTCTGTTATATTTTGCAGAGATTCTGAAAAGCTTCCTTCTTGTAAGAAGCCAGATCCTCTGTCTCCAGTCAAGGATAATATCCAACTAACTCCAGAAACAGAAGAAGAAATATTTAACAAGCCGGAGTGCACGCGTGTTCAGAGAGCAATATTCCAATAAACACGGGCAGCTGGGAAGCTGCCGCCCACAGGAGACTTTCTGTCGATCTGAAGTCCTGTTTGGAAACAAGGTGGTTACCAGTCCAAAGGATGTGTTCTTAGAGTCACTCCTTTTTTTTAATAGAATACATTTTGTACATTAATTATGTGTTTCTTCTGTTCAGCTTTTTATATTTTCATAAGAAGCTAATGAGAAAATATTTGATTTTTGACAATTCTGGAAGTTTTACTATTAGATTTTTGACAATTCTGGAAGTTTTACTATTAAATGGGCAAGTCCACTGGAATTTGTTAAAGTTTACTCTCTTTTATATCACTCGATTTCTGTTACATTGTCACACAGAAGGGTGGTGAATGGAAAACCGCTTACCACCAGTAATTCTGTAATTATTTGGTCCTGGTGGAAATCACTGCACTTCTCCTGGCGTTAAATTTTTCCACCTGCCTCACCTATCTTTCAGGGTGGAATTGAAAATAAAGTCTCTGGGATGGGAGGGGCCGTTGGATGGCTGAAGGGTCACGGCACAGTGGGGACAGTGCTTTGCTGTCCCCAAAGAGTCTGATTGGGCTACAGATGTGACCGTGGATGGAAATTGCTTTTAGCCTTTTGTAAGAGGAACTACCTAGATCATGAATATTCTCAAACTTCAAAACAGCCTGTTTTTTAATGCCTTTTTTTAAGTACAGGCTAGAAATTCCTTAACATATATTTAAAACTGCTGTCTTGGGCGTGATGTAAGATAATAGAACTGCAAAGTCTGTAACATGTACACTCTGCAGAGAAACAGGCAGAAACCCGTGAAGAGAGCCGGCCCTACCAGGGGAGGTCTGACATGACGCAGCTGTTACCGGAGTAGCCGAGATACAGAAGGTGAAAGATGGGAACCCAGGGTGTTTTCCTTTTTAAATGAGACTTTGTACATGCTAAAGACGTCAGAAAAGGAACAATAAACATTGTAAGAAGCAACATAAAATTTAAAAAAAATAAAAACCAATCTGGAAAAAATCTAAACAACAGAAGCAAGTCTTTGTTTTCTATCAATATTTCCTGCTGTAGAACAAAGTGGGAATGTGAATCAAACATTGCCTACCAATCTGTAACTTCTCACACATTTAATATGCCACTTAAATGACAGAAAAGGACTAAAGACTCACAAAGGTTAATAGCAGAAGAGACAGGCAAGGAAACCCGTGAATGAAAAGGGGTTTATGAAATCCTTTCTCCAGTGGCAGGAGCCAACACGAAGCTGAGATGGGTTTAGTAGGTGGAGATGTCAGGCAGGTCCCTTTAAAGTGGGGGCTCAACATAGGGCCAAAAGCATTTAGAATCAGCGTTGGAGAAGGGGAAATGGTGGCAACACCATAGGTTTTCAGTCCTCAAGTCCCCACAACTAGGTAGCAAATCAAAACCTATGAGCATTACAACAAATTTACGCAACAACATCCCAAACTACAGCAGCCAGGAAAACCACAGAGATACTGGCGGATGTTCAGGGGAAGAGGAAAGGAGTCCCAGGGGGACACCTAGTGGCCTGAGAAGGGAGCTGAAGAGCCAGTGAAAACGCACAGCAGGTGGAGTTGGAAACTGCCTTTCAAACAAGGGCTCTGGCCTGTTGGTGCCACCTAGGGGTGAGGCTGCAGGGATGTCCGAAGGACAGAAGCAGTCTAGTCCAAGTGAGCTATTGGACAACTAAATAGCAACAGAAAACACAGCCAGAACACAGAAAATTGAACTTTTCGGAAGTCTGATTAACAACAAATTCTTCAGCCTGACCGGTAAGAGGGGCAAAACCAGCAGCTGGCAGAGTGGGGTTGCACAGGAAAACTCGGTCAGACGGACTCAGGCTCGTGGAATCCAGGCGCAGGGTTGGACCTGGTGGGCAACTCACCAAACAATCTCGGGAAAACAGCGAGGGAGCAAGGCTGCGGGTTGACTGTGGTCCAGCATTCATGTGTGGATAGACAAGTGAGGGAGTGGGCGACTGGACAAGACCCAGCAGCCTCAGCAGCAAGGTGCAGGGGAGGGCGCCGCCATTTCACCGCTCTGACCCCACCTCCACATACAGAGTCATAACCCAGCGACTCTGAGTGGCCCTGCCCCTGTGAACAACCTAAGGCTCTGCTCCTCACCCACAGGCGAGAAACAGCAGAGGGGGCCACCATTTCCCCGCTCTGACCACACCTCCACATACAGCATCACAACCCAGCGAACTGAGAGTCCAAGACTCCACTCCTCATACTTACCGGGCACAAACAGACCAAAAATGGCTCAAGAAGATCTCAAAGCCCCAGAGCATAAAAATCTAAGCGATGAAGAAATAGCAAAACTCTAAGACGCACAGTTTAAAACACTGGTGATCAGGATCCTCACAGAACTGGTTGATTATACCCACAAATTAGACAAACATATGAAGGCGAAACTAATTGAAATGCATGGAATTGCACAGCAAACCAATAGCGATGAAAAGGAAACTGGGACTGAAATCAATGAGGAGTAGACCAGAAGAAAGCAAATAATGGCCAAACAGAAAAGAGTGAAGAAGCAAGAATTCAAAAAAATTAGGAGAGTCTTACGAACCTCCAGGACATCTTTAAACGCTCCAATATCCAAATTATAGGGGTACCAGAAGGGGGAAAGGAACAGGAACCAGTACAAAACTTATTTGAACAAATAATAAAGGAGAATTTCCCCAATCTGGCAGAAAAAAAAATAGACGTCCAGGAAATCCAGGAAGCTCAGAGAGTCCCAGACATTGGACCCAAGAAAGAACACACCAAGGCACATTATCATTCCATTAGCCAAAATTAAAATGAAAGAATCCTAGAAGCAGCAAGAGCTAAGGGGACAGTCACCTACAAAGGAGTCCCCATCAGACTGTCAGCGTATTTCTCAAAAGAGACCTTACAGGCAAGAAGGGGCTGGAAAGAGGTATTCCAAGTCATGAAATCCAAAGACCTACAACCAAGATTGCTCTATCCAGCAAAGCTTTCATTTAGAATGGAAGGACAGAGAAAGTGCTTCTCAGATAAGATCAAATTCAAGGAGTTCATCATCACCATTCCCTTATATGAAATGTTAAGGTGACTTAACTAAGAAAAAGAGGTTCAAAAAACACGAACAGGGAAAGACAGCAAAGTCACAGTTATTAAGAACCACACCAAAACAAAAGCAAATTAAAAGGACAGCTAGATCAGCAGTGGAAACATAGAAATGAAGATCTCAAGGAGGGTTAGCAACAGGGGAGTGGGAGGAGGAGAAGGGGGGAGAAGGTACAGAAAATAAGTAGCATAGGCAGTAGATAGAAAAGAGATGGGAGGGTAAGAATAGTATGGAAAATATAGAATCTAAAGAACTTGAGACACATGGACATAAACTAAAGGGGGGGTAATAGTGGGGACAGGGGGTAGGGTGGAGGGGAATGAAGGGGGGGAATAAGACTACTTTAAGAGCATAATCAATAAAAAATAAATTTAAAATAAATAGTGTTGGGAAAACTGAACACACACATGCAAAAAAAAAAAGAAAGAAAGAAAGAAAAATTAGTAGCATAGCATAGACATTAGATAGAAAATAGATGGGGGGGCAAGAATAGCATGGGAAATATAGAATCTAAAGAACTTGAGACACATGGTCATAAACTAAAGGGGGGGTAATGGTGGGGACGGGGGTGGGTGGAGGGATGAAGGGCAAAAAAAAAAAAGGACCTCTGGCCAAGATGAAGGTGTAGTGAGATACAATTTGTCCCCTCATGCAACCAAAAGAAGGACAACAACAAATTTTAAAACAGGAAACTACCAGAAAATCCAACTGTGTGGAAGGAAGCTTGACACCCAAAGAGTTGAAGAAACATTCATCCAGAACGGCCAGAGGGGTGGAGAAAGACAGCCAACGTAGAGAGGACAAGCGGCAAGGTGGCGGCGGGCAGAACTGGCGGTCCCACATTCATGTGTGGGGGAAACCAGGAGGAACAGCTGGGGAGCGAGACACCTCCAAACCCAGGGTTCCAGCGCTGGGAAATAAAGCCTCAAACCTCTGATTGAAAACACCTGTGGAGGGTGATGCAGTGGGGGAAACTCCCAGCCTCACAGCAGAGTTCGTTGCAGAGACGCACAGGGTCCTAGAACATGCACAAACCCACCCACCTGGGAATCAGCACTAGAAGGGTCCGATTTGCTTGTGGGCAGGGGAGGAAGTGACTGAAAGCCAGACCAGAGCAGAGCAAGCAACGCACTATTCCCTCTCAGATCCTCCTCCACACACAGTGCCCAGTGTGGGTTGCCCAAACATCCCACCCCCTACTACGTAACAGGTGTGCCGAGAAAAGAAAAAGGCCAAATGAAAAAAAGGATCAAAGCTCCAGAAAAAGTACAACTAGGCCAGGACAAGATAGCCAACCTATCAGATCCTCAGTTCAAAATGCTGGTTGGGGACTTCCAGCCAAGATGGAGGTGTAGGTGGTAACATTGTGGCTCCTAGCACAACCAAGTTTAAAGACAACAAAGTTTTAGTAACAAAAACTCAACCAAAACACAGAAAATTGAACTGTATGACCAACCAGTCAGCCAGATTGATGAGGGGTGGAGTAAGCAGCTGGCTGAGCGGGTCTCCCAGAAAAAAGTGGCTGAACAGACCCAGGTGCAGGTGAAGGTTGGCAGATCCCAGGCATGGTGTTGCAACAGGCAGACCCAGTGAGGGCTCAAGACAGCTTGCTGACAGTGGTCACACATTCTCGTGCAGATAAAGCAGGTGAAGGAGTGAGCAGTGAGACAGACTGTGCAAACCAGGGCCCCAGCGATGGGAATTAGAGCCTAAAAGCACCAATTGTAAAAACTTCTGGGGGTTGAGGTGCTGGGAGAGGCTCCCAGGCTCACAGAGAGTTCATTGGACCAACCCACAGGGTCCTGGAGGGTGTACAAGCCCACAGTCCCGGGAACCAGCACCAGAAGGGCCCAATTTGCTTACGGGAAGCAGCACAGGGGACCAAAGTCTGAGAGAGAGCAGAACAAACACCTTTGTTGCTCTCTGACCACGCCCCCACATACAGCGTCATAGCCCAGCTACCTGGGTGGCCCCGCCCTGGTGAACACCTAAGGCTCTGCCCCTCATATGTAACAGGCATGAACAGACCAAAACATTATGGCTCAAGAAGAACAGCCCAAAGCCCCAGAGCCAATACTTCTAAGTGACCAAGAGATAGCATAGCCAACCTATCAGATGCACAGTTCAAAACA